AGGACTGTAGGATACAGGAATGGGAGGCTGACGGGGATATGGTGGAAACAGGAAACATGGGACAGGGCCACTGGGGCTCACGTGCTCCCTGCCCCCCCTCCTCTCCCAGAACCTGAGCACCAGCGAGGGCCCCAACTATCTGACGGCCTGTGCAGCCCCCTCGAGTCTACCTCAGCGCCACTTCTGCGCCGTGTGTGGCCTGCCCTCGCACTACACCTGCGTCAGCTGTGGGGCCCGCTACTGCTGTGTGCGCTGCCTGGGCACCCACCAGGAGACCCGGTCAGTGACCCCTCTACAGTGCCTCTGTCACCCCCAGGACCACTGGAGACCAGGGGACTTTCTTGATACCCCCAGGAAACCCCTTTGCCCCTCCCACTGCACTGTCCCCAGAGCCCCAGGGAAGACGACCACTCTCAGTACTCCCCAAAACACCAGGTGACACCCCGTATACCTCCCTAGGAAAGACCCAGGTGCCCCTGGCAGACCAGGAATATTTTTCCATCATCTCGGCGTGTCTGTCCCTGCAGATGTTGCGAGGGTGTCTCTCTGCTCCGTGGTGGGATCCTGGTTTGTGTGTGACCTCAGGTGGTGGTGGGAGTCTGTTCTCTGACCCTAGGAGACCAGGGGAGCGCTCAGGGGCACCTAGGTTGGGAGGGGTCGCCAGGCAGTGGAGTCACTGGCAGAGTTTTGGGGGGGCTCCATTAATTCTTGCCCATTGGCCTTGTCCCAGCCGCTCTGCTGGCAAGGGGCTGTGGAGCAGTGCCACTTCCCCCATGAGGCTGGAATGCTGCTTCCCACCCTGCCTATCTTGGGCATGGCTTGGTCAGTGCCCCATCTCATCCCCTCTGACGGCGCGTCAGGGACTCCCCGATCCTGCACCCCAGTAGCAGCATTAACAGACTCAGCCAGCCAGTAGAGTAGAGACGATTTATTGCTTCTCCAGGATACAGCACAGCATAGACGTGATGTGGCTACAGGAGTCAGGGCCCGGATGCCTTAGACCCTTTGGGTTAGCGGGTCCATCGCCCCCCTCAACTCTCAGCACCCAGCTTAGGCTGTTCCCTTCATGTTTCCCAGCCAGAAACTGACCCTTCCCCCAACACTCACTTCCTTTGTTCCATCCCTTGGTAGGACGGATTCAGTCACTGTCTTGGGGGCCCTCAGGGAGCCCCCCTCTGGGCAGCGCTTACAGAGGCCACTAGGGGTCATCCACAGGCCAAGCACTGCAACCAGCAACCTACTGACACTGCATCACACCATCACTGAGGAACGGGGAGTCACTGGGCCCTACACCCACATCCGCAGCCAGATGTGAGACTCAGCCGGCAGGTGGAACAGAAGGTTTATTAGGCAACAGGGACACAGTGTAGAACAGACTTGTCAGCCCAGGAACCAGCAGCCAGCACCATCCATCTCAGAGAGGGGCTCAAAGCCAAGGCCCCAGCCCTTACCCCTGCACCCCAAGCCAGCCAAGACTAGCTCGGCCCCTCCTCTAGCTTTTGTCCTGCTTCCTGAGCAAAAGGTGTCGCCTGATCGCACCCCCTCCCAGGCTCAGGTTTATACAGGGCACCAGCCACTGTGTACATGGGGGAGGCTGGTGCACCAAAATCCCTACCGTCTAGCTATTGGTGCAGTGCCCAGGGAAGCTGAGGCACACACACAAGGTTACTACAAGATAGCAGCACTCACATGCAGCATGCCAAGGTAAATGTGATCCCCACTTAATCCCGCCTCCCCCTTTTCTCTCCTTGCAGGTGCTTGAAATGGACAGTTTAGCTCTGCTTGGATCCTGGATTTTCACCCCCAGTTGGAGGGCCCAAAGTCTGCTGCACTGGAGGGGAGAAGGGTTGTTCTTGAGGGTCTCTGATCCTGGGGGACCCTGATTCTGGCTGGTACTGGCAGAGAGGGCGACTGATTCCAGGGGGGTGCACTAATCTTGCTGCCCTGTGGGAGGGACTGATCCTTGAGGTCCCAAGGCCTGAGCTGCCTGCGTCTGCCTGTAAATAAACACTCCGTCCTCACTACCCAGTGTATTCCCTCTGTCTGTGGGGGTGGGCATGGACTCCAGCCCCATGACACGTGGGGGGCACAAATATATCCTCATCCCTCATCTCCTGGCTTCACCCTGTTGCACTGAGGGAGGGGAAGGAGGCGCGGGGGAGCAGTCTGGTAGGATTCCTGCAAGAGACTGGAGGGGTCCCATGCAAGTAACCAGGACACCTGGGTTCTTTTCCTGGCTAAGTGACGTCAGAGAGCAACTTCCCTTCCTCGTGCCTCAGTTTCTCTTCCTCTCCCCCTATGTGGTTGGGCTGAGTCCCATGGGACAGGCACTGTCCTGCCCCCATTTCTGGGCAACGCCCCTGGTCATAGGGGCTGAAACACAGCTGAATCCAGGGTGGTACCCAAACAGTTCACTAGGGGGAGCCCTGGGCCCAGCTATAGCTGCTGGAGCTTGAGGGGAGTGAGAGCTAGTGATTAGAGCAGGGAGGGTGCTGAATGCCAGGAGTCCTCACCTTTTCTCTCTGACCTCTGGCATGGTACTGCCTGGCTGTACCTTGGTTTCCCCACTGTTGGGAAGGAAACAATGTAACTACTGTGCTCCCAGCTACCTTGGGGATGGGGCTCAGGTTTGTGCACTTGTGTCTCCTCCTCAAGATGTGGCATATTCCCCCCCTTCCCTTGGGCGTCAGTGCCTGTGGTTCATGCATACAATTGACCCTGACTCCATGCATGTTCTGAGGATGCTTCACCTACCAGCAGCCCCCCATTAGCACCTCCTGCTCCTCTCTCCCTCTACAGCCAGGCGTTCTGGGGTGCACAGGAGGCATTGGGGAAGCAGGGCTGGGGGGAAAGAGGTGGTGAGGGGGTGGGTCCTGGTGCAGAGTGGGCATCATGCACCCCCAAGCAGCTCATAAGTTTATACTCAGTTTTGTCAAAAGAGGGGTGGGACCCCAGTGGGGTGTAGAGAGCACTTTGGGGGTTGGGGAGCCCAGGTCTGATGGAAGGGCTCGGGATCAGGAGGCTGTGGGTCCAGAGGGCCAAATCCCAGCAGGAGAGGCAGCCTTTGCGGCCGCATGTTGCACTGAAGGAGGGTTCCTCCCAGCAGCCATATGGGGCCTGTGAAGCTGTGACAGCCACACTTGAGGTTAGGGGCTTGCCAGGCCACGCCCCTTCATGTGCCAGGCCACAATCACGGCACGATGCGCTGCAGCAGCGGGGCTGGCAAGGGCGAATCAAATCCACACGTGTAATGAACCAAGAAAACATAAAAACCAGCCAGTGGTCCTGGGGCATCCTAGGCTACGTCTAAACTACAAGCCTCTTGCGGAAGAGCAAATGAAAATGGAGCACTCATTTGCATATGTCATGTTCATTTGCATTTCCTCTTCATTGCCCTTTTGTACAAGATGTTTTTGCACAAAAACCCCCTTTTGCGCAAGAGCCATTTGCAAAAATGTTTTGCGCAAAAACTTCTTGTGGAAAAGGGAAAGGAAATTGAAATGAGTGTGACATATGCAAATAGAGCACTCATTTGCATTTGCTCTTCCACAAGAGGCTTGTCGTACGGCCAAGGCCTTAGAGACTAATGTATGTAGATAGTCTCATGAGCTTTTGTGGGCAAAGAGCAGTGTTCTGAAGACGTGGATTTTGCCCACGAAAGGCCATGATACTGTACGTATTTGGTTAGTCTCTAAGGGTATGTCTACACTACAGCGCTAATTCGAACTAACTTAGTTCGAATTAGTTAATTCGAGCTAAGCTAATTCGAACTAACGCATCTAGAACTAAAAACTAGTTCGAATTAGCGTTTTGCTAATTCGAACTAGCGCGTCCACATTAAGTGGACCCTGAACCAGGGTTAAGGAAGGCCGGAAGCAGTGCCGGCAGGGCATCAGATGAGGACTTAGAGCATGGAGCTGCTGTCTCAGGCTAGCCGAGGGCTGTGCTTAAAGGGACCTGACCCCCACCCCGGACAGACAGTTCTCAGGGGTGCCCCGCTTGCAAAGCAGACCTGTCTTGGAGTGCCCTGAGTGCCCACACTGGGCACATCACAGCACTCGGCCATCAGCCCGGCTGCACTTGCCGCAGGCTGCCATCTGGGGAGAGGGG